GAGAGGAAATAAAAAAGGACAAGGCGGGTGGAGAGAGAAAAAAAACTGGGATAGAGAGAGAAAGAGGAACCCAGAGAAGGACAGAGATGGCAAAATAAAAAATAGTGAAGAGGGGCAGCAAGTAAAACCGAGACAGGGAGAAATACAGAGAAAAGGGAGGAAGGAAGGAGAGGAAGATACATGGAGCAGGACAGAGGAAAAAAAAAATGCTGATGAGGAGCAGGACAGGTAGAGAGAGGAAAGACAGGTGGATATAGCGAGAAATGATGCAGCAGGACAAAAGCAGGACAGAGATGGACAAAGATTAGTGACAGAAGGATAGAAAAAGACAGACAAGAACAGAGGAACAGACAAAAAGAGTAACAGGACCAGAACAGAGAGATGGAGAAAGAAAAAACAGTAAAGAGCAGCAGGACAGAGGGAGAGAGAGGGAAAAAGAAGGACAGGAGAATGGCCAGTGGGATACAGAAAACCAGTGAGGGACAGGGAGTCAGAAAATGGGATTCAGAGAACAAGAGAGGGACAGGGAGCAGGACACTGAGACAGAGAGAACGAGAGTGATGGTGGAACGATGGAGAAGTAGAGCAAGAGAAAGACAGGGACAGAGAGCAGAATGATGATGGAGCAATAAATAGGGTCACGGAGAATGACAGAGTGATAGAGACAAAAAGAGAGAGACACGGAGAACAATAGGGGACCAGAAAAAGAAAAGACAAAGGACAGGGAACAGCACAGAGGGACGGAGAGAAAAAGAGTTGACAGGCAACATGGGAGAGAGATGTGGATACAAGTAATAGGGACACAGACCAGCACAGAGGAACAGAAAGACAACAAGACACACAAGGATAACAATAAAGAGACAGACAGGGACAGGGAGCAGCAGAGAGGGACGGGGAGCAGGGCAGAGGGACAGAAAGAGAAAAATAAGAGGAGGAAGAAGGTCCAAGGAGCAAAGAAAAAGAGAGATACAAGGAAAAGGATAGAGAGATGGAAAAAAAACAGTAAAAAGAGGGATGAAATATCTTGCAGACAGATGGAGAAATTAAAAATACTGACAGGGAGCAGGATGGAGGGAGAAAAAGAGGGACAGGCAGAAGGACAGAGAGATACAGAAATATGGGGAAAGAGCGCGCAACATAATGACGTACAGAGAATAAAGAGGACTGGAAACAAGCCAGAGGCATTGAGAAGAAAAAGGGACGCAGGTCGGGACAAAGAGATGGAGAAGGAAAAAAATGGTAATGGGCTGCAGGACAGAAATGGAGGCAGAGAAAAAAGAGGGACAGGGAGCAGGACACGAGAACAGGGAGAGAGCAAATATACAAGGAAGGAAAAAAAGACAGAGGAAAAGAGAACATCAGGAAGCGAAACAGAGGAATGGGGAGCCAGGCAGACAGATGGACAGGCAGAGAGAGACACAGGGATGACAGACAGAAAGAGACAGCAGCAGAGACAAATCGAGAGGTGGGCAGGGATCTGGAGGGGTGGAGGATGCAGAAAAGGGCAGGGGGAGACCAAGATGTGGATGAGTGGGATGTGGCCCTAAGGGCCTTGGACTCACCGCAGCTCCTGCTTTCAGCACTGTCCACAGAGTCCTCCAGATGCTGCTTTGTCTGTCTCTCCCTCCCTTCCTCTTCTGCAGCTCTGGTCGCTTGACTGTCCTCCACCTAAGAGAACACAGCGGTGTCTAACAGCTATTAAATGCACAGCCTTGCACGTGCACACCTGCTCCCCAGGGCTGCATCGCGCCTTTGGATACGTACATGGGCCCTGAGGTGCATGTCGGCCATCGGGTCTGCTGAAGGTTACTCAGAGGGACCCTTCCTCACTCAGAAAGCCTGGCCGTCTCTGTGGCTGGAGGCACCTTCCAGCTCAACCCCCTCGATTTTGTTCTCCAGCTGCTTTACCTTTTTCTGGCCTCTTTAAGCGTCATCTGCAGCAGCTCCTGTCTCCAGCCAGCAAGCGTCCACCAGTCCCCGGTCACCCACGGCACGAGGAGACCGAGGCCAAACAGCAACAGCCCGTGCAAACCTGGGCAAACGCGGCGAGCATCAGCCCTGAGGAGGAACAGACAGCCGAGCCCTCCGCATGGCCGCTGGGAGAGGAGCAGAACCGGCAGCCATCAGTGGTGGGGTCCATGGCAGCTCGCCCCGGCGGGAGCCTCTCCT